CCTTCCCCTTTCTCGCTGACCCTTCACTTTTCCAAGCATGACATCCTCCTGGGGCTGGTCCCTTCTCACAACATGACCAAAGTATGTGAGAGAAGTCTGGCCATTCTCCCTTCTAAGAAGCATTCCAGCTGCACTTTTTCTGAGATAGGTTTGTTGGTTCTTCAGGCAGTCCATGGTATTTTCAGTATTCTTTGCCAATACCGTAATTCAAAGGCATCAATTCTTCTTCTGTTTTCCTTATTCATTGTCCAACTTTCACATGTATATGTTGTTGTTGTTGCTATGTGCCATCTGAGGCCATTGAAAAAACCACAGCTTGGGTCAGGCACACTTTAGTCTTCAAAGTGACAACTTTGCTCTCTAACACTTTAAGGAAGACTTTCGCAACAGATTTGCCCAGTGCAATACAACGTCTGATTGATTGACTGTCTTCCATAAGCACTGATCGTGGATCCAAGTAACATGAAAGGTTGGACAACGTCAGTTATTCTCTGTCTATCATGATGTTATTTACTGGTCCAGCTGTGAGAATTTTTGCTTTCTTTATGTTGAGGTGTAAGCCCTACTGAAGACTAAGCACTTGTAGGAAGTCTTAATCGGAAAGGGACTGAGGACACCCTTGTATCCGTGCAGTGTGGATATAGTCAGTGATTTTGGGAGTTGGGTGGAGGTCCAAGTTCATTTTGCTTTTGGGATTGAGTATCTGTATGTCACCAAGTGAAGGTTCCCCAGTTTGCCCTTGACTACTGACCTAAAGGTTGGGATTGGGACCCACCCAGCATTACCATGAAAGAAAGGCCTGGAGGTTTTCTTCTTCCATAAAGATTACAGCCAACAAAACCCAATGGACCAGTTCTACTCTGTAAAACACAGGGCTGCCATGAGTTCAAGTTGACTTGACAACTAGCAACTATAATGCCAAGTGTCTGACCGGGAGCTACTGTCAGGGGGACCTGTGAAGCTGGGATTTAACCTGCAATTTCCAAGTGTATTGGGTCTGTGGGGGTGGGGTGAGAGAAAGAGCTTTATTTCCCCCTGTATCCTGTACACTGATCCCATTAGACTGTAACCCAAAAGGAAAAACAAACCTATTGCCTTGTAGTGGATTCCAACTCATGGCCACCCACGTGTTTCAAAGCGGAACTGCACCAGAGTTTTCTTGGCTGGGATCTTTGTGGCAGATGAGCAGGCCTTTACTCTGCAGCACCTCGGGCGGATTCTAACCACCAACCCTTAAGCTAGTGGCTGTATCCCAATCCTTTGTGCCACTAATGACCCAAACTGTACGCAGGGCCCACGTCCCCGTACTGAGTGTTGGAGAAGACAGAGACATTCAGGACCATTTGCATTGCTCATGGTTTTCTATTAAGTAAAAGAACCATGAGATGTTATTATGTAGAGGCCTTTCCAAAGAGATTTCCTTCATGTGCGGTGTGGGACATGTACAGCAATGTTCAAAAGGTCACAGAAATGTGAAATGCTTTATGAGCTGTATATTTGCCACAGTTTAAAAGGGGGAGGTGGAAAAGAAAGAAAGAAGGTTAGCCCTTAGTTGATAGTTTTTGAAGCCAGTTTATGGGCACCTGGGGGTTCATTGTACTAGTTTTAGTTCTGTTTAAAATACTTCATAATAGTAGCAACTGGGGTCTTAAAAGCTTTTAAGTGGCCATGTAAGATGCAGCTAATGTTCTCCTATCATTGGAAGTAAAGAGGAGTGCAACAATAACAACAACAACAAAAAAAAAAAAAAATCCAAGGACATTTGGAAACAATCAGCCCTAGGACATGATGGCCCTGGAGACTGGATGAACTAGATGAGGCCCAGCTACCAATGCCAACCACTCGGGAAATGATCAAAACTGGAGATCCTGGATAGAGTGGGAGAAGAAACGTGGGACAAAATCCAAAAACACAATAATGACCAAAATTACTGGTCAGATAGATTCTGGTGGGACCTCCAATACTACCACCCTGGGATACATTCTGGGCCTAAAATAAAACTCACTCCCAGGGGCTGGCTCTTAGGCCAATAGTGAATAAGATGTACATGCAGACCAGTCAACTAAAGGTGATACACCCACATACTCTATGGACATGCATCCCTTGGAGCAATCGACCACGGGACACCAGACGGGAAACATTCACAGGGAGGAAATGCAGGACACACAGGAGCATAACTATGAGGGGCACAGGGGAGGGGAGGTTACTGGGCAGGGAGCGGAGGAGACTGGGTCAGGGTTGGGGATGGTAATTGGGGAGTGAAACCAAATGTACATGAAACGTTGGATGTAAAACTAACTCTGCTCTGTAAATTTGCACCTAAAGCACAATATAAATAAATGAATGAATAAAACTACTTCATAATAACAATGAAACAAATACGTTGATTGTCACCAATGTTACTGAATTGTACACATGGAAACCTTTGAAATGATATGTCTTGGCCTGTGTGTACTTTCATCTCTCCATACCCCCAACAATAAAAAAATGATTGAACTTTGGAATTTGAATGAAGTCATCGTGAAAAGCTCCAAAATTAATCTTAAAGCACTGAATGAAAAAAACAGTGAAAAGAAGAGAAGAACAATGTCCACAACAGCAAACACCTGGACAGAGCCTGGAAGAAGGGCGGGTAATCGGGCTTCTCCACACTGCGGAGCAGCAGCCTAAGAGTGTGGCTCTGTGATTGCAGCAGGGCCATAAGGAACGTCACAATTCATGGAGCCCAGCCCCAACTCCCATCTGTCCGTGATTTGAGTCCAGTCTAATGGCATCCCCTAGGTTCCCAGTAGGATTAAACGCCGTTTTCCTAGTAGAAACCAGCTCACTGATGCATCCCAAAGAACCTACCAGATGTGTGCTTTTCCTCAGCTCTGCACCAAATTCCGGTCTCTTCTCTTCTCCCCTCCCTCCTCTCTCTGTCTCTGTCTCTCTCTGTCTCATGCCTTTTGGCAGTTCAAACATACCCAGAGGTGTCTTGGACAAAAGCGTGGTTATCTGCTTCTGAAAGGTTACAGCCGTGAAAACCCTATGGAAGCCAGCTCTAATCTGCAACACATGGGTCTCCATGAGTCGGAATCCATTCCATGGCAACTGGGTGGTGGCACAGACAGTTTAATGCTCAAACACTAGCCAAGGGCTGGAGCCCTGAGCCCACCAAGGGGCACCTGGGAAGACAGACCTGGTGACCCGCTCGTGTAAGGGCACTGCACACGTAGGGTCATGACGAGTGGGAAATGACTTGATGGCAACTAACAACAAAATGCCCTTTTAAACCATTTCTGGAAATTAGTGCTTTCCCCCATCTTTGGATGAAACCAATGGAAGACACTTGGCTTTTCTAGTATTTACTTTTCAATAAAACTGCATCCTGCACATTTGCAAGGAATACTGAGTATACCATGGACTACCAGAGAACGAACAAATCTGTCTCAGAAGGAAAGCCAGAATGCTTACAAGTGAGGATGGGGGGACTATGTTCTATGTACTTTGGGCATATTGTGAGTAGCGACCAGTCCCTGGAGAGGAATATCACGGTGGTAGAGGGTCAGGGAAGAAAGTGGGGCCCCTCCACGAGATGGCTTGGCCCAGTGGCTCCAACAATGGGCTCCAACATGGCAGCCATCGTGAGGACGCCGCAGGACCACGCGTGTTTCCTTCTGTTGTACACAGGGTTGCAGAAGTTGGAAACAACTCACTGGCACCTGACAACAGAAATATTCAGGTCCAGTTTAGCTACTAGGATGTGCAGTGGATCTTCTTAAAACCCTATCATTTAAATGTGACGGTTCCCCTCCTCCGACTCAGGTCTCCCCACTTCTTTCGGGCTGCCTGAAGCTTCTCGAGTGAAAGGTGAGGCAGGAGCACAGGGGAGCTGGGGGAAGCCTCGCTGGCCCCGTGAGCTGGTGTTTGTGTCCTTGGTGGTGGTGGTGGGTTGGTCTCACTGTCTTCTGATGTGGGGCTCATGGATGGACATAAAGGAACAAACAACAAAGTTACAGATCCGTTCATTTGCTCAACAGATATTTATTGGTCCGTCAAAAATGTCTCAGCCAATTTTCTAGGCACTTGAGATACTTTAATGAACAGAACTAATTCCCTATCCTCCTTAAATTGATGATTTTAGAATGGATGGAAACAGTAAATGGGAAGCATCATCATGAGGAAATTATACAGGTGTTCTAAGTAGGTAACATTATGGAAATACACAGTAAATTCTGTGAAAGCCAGACCTATGGAAATATTACAACCTTGGAAACCCTATGGGGCAGTTGTACTCTGTCCTTTAGGGTCGCTGTGAGGTAGAGTCAACTCTATGGCAGGGAGTTTGGTTTGGACTTTGCTTCCCTAAAGACTAAGGAGTTCTGGTGGTAAAGTTTAAGGCACTTGACTGCTAACCAAAATGTTGGTAGTTTGAACCCACCCGCCACTCCCTGGAACACAAGACAGTCAGCTTCCACAAAGTTTTACCACCATGGACACTCTATGGGGCAGTTCTACTCTGTGCTCTAGGGTTGCTGTGAATCGGAATTAACAGGACTGAGTTTAACAGAATACCTCTTGTGGGGTCTATGCTGTCTGCTGAGTACCCTGACCAGAGTCTGAGGGGTCTTGAGGAACCTTAGAGAAAGCCAAAGGAAGCTTGGTGGCACAACGAAACGTTGGTGGTGAGAGCCCACCCAGCAGCTCTGCAGGAGAGCAGACGTGGCGATCTATTCCTGTAAGACCAGAGCCTTGGGAACCGTGGGGTAGTTCTCGTCTGTCCTACAGGGTGGCTACGAGTCAGAATCAACTGAGTGGCACACTATCTGTCCATCTATCTGTCATCTATCTGTCTACCTATCATCCATCCATCCATCCACTCACCCATCTATCATCAATCTATGTATCATCTATGTATATATCTATGTATCTATGTATGTATCTATCATCTATCTACCTATGTATCATCTATCTACCTATCATCCATCCATCCATCCATCTACCTATCATCTATCTACCTATCTATCTTTCTTGTGAGTCCTCACGTGGCGGTGGTACGTGGATGACTGACGGTAGCTTCTCCCACAAAGGGAACACAGGTAGGGCTTCTCTCCCGTGTGGATTCTCTCGTGAGCCCGCAAGTTGGTTCTGTGGCTGAAGGACTTGTCACACGTGCTGCATGGGAAGGGCCTCTCCCTCTTGTGAATCACCTGGTGCACCCGCAGGTCTGACGTCTGGAAGAAGCCCTTGTGGCACTCGGTACAAATGAACGGCCTCTCGTTTCTGTGTCTTCTCTGGTGGGCTTCTAACTGAGAGAGATACCTAAAGATCCTGGGACAGTCTTCACATCTGTATGGTTTTGGGGTCTTGTGAAATCTCTCTTGGTGGCCCCCACCTGGGGACTTCCCGCCATTGCTCTGGTGGGTGGGGGCAGCCTCAGAGGTGGCTGGATCTGGCCTGGAGCTAAGTCCTGGTTGCACCTCGACAGCAGTGAGTTTGGTTGGGGTTTTTTCCACCTCCATAGGGACATCTTGACGGGAGGCTCCTCCCAGGGCCCTTTCCTGGGGCCTGGAGGTGCCCAGGCTTAGTCTTCTGGAGCTTTCTCGGTTGTCTTCTTCAGGTTTGGCACAGGTCTCTTCCTGGATAATCCGTAGGGAAGGCACTTGATTGCACTGGCTGGTGATACCATCATGTTCATGCAGAGTTTTCAAAGAAAGGTTGCTGCTGTCTTCTCTATCTTCGCCTCCTGTGAAAATAAAGTGATGAATCCATGAAGTTGCACCATCAAAGGGCCCACACAGAACACCCTCCTTGTGATGGTTAATGGTATGTGTCAACTTGGCTCGGCTATGACAGTCAATGGTGTGGCAGACACTGGACAGGATGCTCTTCCATAAAGTAACATAATGGAATCCATAATGTGATCTGATCTGAGCGGCCAGTTAGGTGAAAGGGGAGTTTCCTTGGGGCTCTGGCCTGCCTCCAGTGTGTGAATGGATGTTCTAGAAAAGGTTGCTCGCTCTCTCTCTCTCTGTCTCTCTCTCTCTTCCTCCATCTCCCGCCTCCACTCTTCTCTCATCTGAACTCCGCTTCTGGGGATGTCAACCTTCAGAAGCCTCTGGCCTGCTGACTGACTTGCAGATTTTAGATTCACCAACCCCCATAACCCCATGACTCAGCAAAGTCTCCCAGCCTGTTGCCTGACCCATGGATTTGGGGCTTGCCATCCCCCCACAATTGTGTGACCCTTTTCCTTGAAGTAAATTTCTCTATATATGTTTATACAAGCTTCACCGGTTTTTATCCTCTAGAGAATCCGGACTAAGACACCCCAGGTACCCCGATGCCCCTGACTCACCTCGTTCTGTTGCTGTGGAAGGATCTTGGGGTGTCTTGATGGGACTCCTCATGTTCTTTCCTGTTGGGTTCCCTGTTGTCAACTGTTTTGTGAGGAGACCAACGACATCTCTTAAGGGCATATTCTCTGAAAAGAGGGCTTCCTGTCCCTGCATGTAGACGTGGACCTGTAAACAAAGCATGGTCAGTGTCATATTAATGTGGGAAACATGTTGTGGCCAGACTTCCCAGGGATCCCTCAACTGGTGGTGGCCACAGCTCCTTGTCCTCTCCTTATCGCTGATGGTGTCAAATGTTATGGTCACTGTCTCATGGCTATGTCTTCCCTGGTTATTAGAAATGACCAGAAGGCTCCCTGAGGGATGCACTAGTTCTTGTAAAGCTATTTCTTCCTCACCTTTGAGGTCTCTGGTCAAACGTCAGTCTCCCAGAGTCCCCTACCACCCCTGGAGCTAAAATGAACTAATGAGGTCAGCCAGCCAACCCATATGTCTGGCTTCCGTGTGTCCCACAGAGCGAACGCTCATCACACTTTGTTTCATTCCATTTGACTCAGGATGAGGAGCTGCTCCGTGGGGAGGAGGTGTGGGGGGAGGCTGTGATCTGGCCAGGAGCCCCTCCTGCAGTAACCCGTCTTTCTCTGCTTCCAGGCGACCCCCCACCCCCACCCCGAGGCCAGGACCCCTGTGCTCACGTAGCCGGGCGGCTCCATGCAGTCATCGGCCAGGTCCTCCATGAACTTCTCCAGGCTTCTGCCTCCTGAATCCCACTCCTCCCTCCACACGGACGAGTCCCTGCGGCGCTCGTCCATCAGGAACTGCTCCCGGGCCAGCTGGGCAATCATCTCGTCCTTGCTGTGCTGCTCTGGCCGCAGCCACCGGTGAAACGCCTTCTGGAGTCTCTGCAGCTCCTGCCGAACGTAGGAGCTGTTGCTGTAGGGAAAGACGCCGAGCGCCGAGCTCGGGAGCCCGGAGGACCCGCCTCGCTTCGGGAACCCAGGTGCTCGGGCGCGTTCAGGCTCCGCATGTCCCGACCCAGGAGCCTTCCTGCGGGAGTCACGCCAACAGGATGTTCTGAGATCTAGAGCCATGCTTGGCGAGATTTCTCAGAGACTCAGCCGGGAGCACTCAGTCTCTGCTCGTATGTCTGGGGATGTTGCACCAACTGGTGGAAGCTTAAAGGCTGAAGTGTAGAAATAGAAGAAAAATGCAATTAGTGAAGGCCTTGACATGATTGAAAACAAAAATTTCAGGCCCAGATGGCTTCATGGGTGAACTTTACCAGACGTTTATGAAAGAGCTATACTCAGATTCAAAAGCTTCTGGACCTTAGAAAACAAGGGCATAGTCCCAACCGTACTTAATGAGGTCAGCACCTCCAGGATAAAATCTTACAAATACATTGAAGAATGGAACACTATAGGAAAACATTTCTCATGAACGCACATGCAAATATCTGAAACAAAATATTTGCACATCCAATCCAGTTACATGCAGACATCAGGAACAAGAAGTACTTATTTTCTGCGTATGAGCTTGTGTTATTAGTTCTCGAGTGCTGCTGTAACGGAAATACCACAAGTGTGTGGCTTTAACAGAGACGATTCCCTCACAGGTTAGGAGGCTAGAAGGCCTGAATTCAGGGGCCAGCTGCAGGGCAAGGCTTTCCCTGTTGGCTCCGGAGGCAAGTCCTTGTCTTTCCTGAGCTTCTGCTCATGGGTGACCGTCAGCTGGGGTGGCATCTCTCCTCCCCATGGCTCCTAGTTAGCTTGCTTGTCTAATGTCTTCTATCTCATGGGATAAACTGGAGCTACACCTCATTAACATAACAAATGTCACCTAATCCTCAAAGATAACACAAGCTTGTCTCATTAATATAACAAACACAACCCATTCACAAATGGGATTATAACACCCGTAGAGGTTAGGATTTACAACACATCACAAAATGGAGGATAATTACATCAGATTACAAAACAGAGGGCAACCACACAATACTAGAAATGATGATCTACCCAAGTTGACATGCATTTTTTGGGGGCAGAGTTCAATATATTTTTATTTATATTGAATATTACATATATATAGAGAGAGATATATAGATATATAGATATATATCCATAGAGATACCACCTCGGAAACCCAGGGAGGTGTTGCTATGAGTTGGATTCGACTCCATGGCAGTGAGTTTTGAGTTTGAGTTCAATATATAACAGGTTCAAATTCACACACCAGTGTCATTTGCCATATTTATAGAACATAGAATGAGATAATCATTCAGTAATCAAAAACCCAAACTTGCTGCCGTTGAGTCAAATCCAACTCACAGCGACCCCTTCTTGGGTTTCCGAGGCATATCTCTGTGGAAGTAGATTGCCCAGTCTTCCTTCCAAGGAGTGGCTGGTGAGTTTGAATCGCCAGCCTTCTGGTTAGCAGTCAAATGCCTTAGGCACGACGCCACCAGAGCTCCCCATCATTCAGTAGATACATAAAAACATATTTAATAAAAATCAGGCTGGTGGTTCAAACCCACCAGGCACTGCCTGGAGGGAAGACTGGCCAATCTACTTCCCTAGTCATACTCTCTCGAAAACCCAAGGAGGGGTTGGTATGAGTAGGAGTTGACTCCATGGTAGTGAATTTGCTTTTTTTTTTTGGACTTATTCTTAAAAAGGCGTCGAGTAAAGTAGGAATAGAAGGAAACTTCTACACTTTAATAAAAATATTCATCTTAACCCTAAGATACTCCTTCAACTTTGAACTGAAACTATCCCCTGAGGTCACCTCTTGGTTGAATATCCCCTGGCTCATAAAATAAAGAGTAGTACCTGTGGGTTCTGCACAGCTTTTAAAAAACATCCATATGAAACTACATGGTAAACAGTTACTCTAATGCAAGGATGAAAATGCCTTAGGCTGGTTCTGTAGAGAAGCAAGACCCATGACAGGTATATACAGGCATACCTCACTTGACTGCACTTCACTTTTGTTGTGCTTTGCGGAAATTGCGTTTTTTAAAATTGAAGGTTTGTGGAGACCGTGAACGGAGCAAGCCTATCGGTGCCCTTTTCCCACAGCGTGTGCTTACTTTGTCTCTCTGTGTCCCATTTTGGACACTCTCATATTTCAAACTTTTTCATCATGCTGTTGTACGTTAATGAGCTCTGGTGGTGTAGGAGGTAAGGCATGTGGCTGCTAAGCAAAAGGTTGGAGGTTCAAACTCACCACCCGTTTCTTGGGAGGAAAACGAGGCAATCTATTTCCATAAAGATTTACAGCCTTGGAAACCCGTTGGGGAAAACTGAGTCAGAATTGGCTTGGTGGCAGTTGAGTTCGCTTTGGTTTGCTACTGCACACTTAGTAGACTCCAGTAGAGTGTCAACATAACTTTTACATGCAGGGAAAACAAGAAAGTTGTGGCCTATCTTACTGTGATAGTCCCTTATTTGGAACCAAACCCACAATAGCTCTGAGGTATGCCTGTATATCAGAGATTTATCTCAAGCAAACACTCACCTGGTTGTAGAGGCTGGCAGGTCCCAAGTCAGACTTCTCCTGATTCACGCAGCTTTAGGGGCTGATGAACGCAAGATGGGCAGGTAGGATCACTGGCTCAATCCAAGGTGATGCAGAATGCAGGACCCAGAGTGAGCAAGAAAGCCAGAGATGTTCGGCAGATAGTCCATATATATTGGAAGCAGGCCACACCCCCGAGGAAATTCCCTTTCAGCTGATTGGCTGCTCGTAGCAGATTTCATCATGGGGTGATTACATTGTATCAGATCTCATCATGGGTAGTGCCTACATCATCACGTAACTACCAAACTACATCATAACTGTCAAAGCCCTGAGATTCTTGGCCCAGCCACGTTGACGTGCAACCTTAACCATCATAAAATGGTCAAGGAGCAGGGAAACCAGATGGCAAGAAAGGAACTATCCTGAACGGAGAGAGTGAGCATGTTCATGCATTGTGAAAAATGAAACCAATGTCACTGAGCTATTTGTAATTGATAAGCAGGAACCTAATCTGTTATGGTAGCTGCAAAATGAATAAGGAAGACTCAAGAGTTGATGCCTTTGAATTGGGGTGTTGGTGAAGAATACTGAACGTACCGTGGACTGCTAGAAACCCTAATAAATCTGTCCCAGAAGAAGGGCGGCAGGAACGCTGCTTGGAAGTGACACTGGCCAGACTTCCTCTCACCCACTTTGGTCATGATGTCTGAAGGGCCCATTCTCTGCAGAAGGATGTCTTGCTTGGTAAAGTGGAGGGACAACGGAAAAGGGGAAGGCCTTCAACATGATGGACCGACACAGTGGCTGCAATGATGGGCTCAGGTATAGCAAGGATCTTGGGGCTGCCAGAGAACCAGACAGTGTTTTGTTCTGTTGTACATGGTGTTGCTATCAGTTGGGGATGACTCAAATGACACCTAACAACATCAACAATCTGCTGTGAAAAGTTTCACAGAAAACACAATCAAATATTAGCGTAGAGAAATGTTCAGCTGAAAATAATCAATGTAATTGTACTTAGACTTGATGTAATTGAATGAAGGTGCTGATTTTGTATGAATGAGCTTCAAACTCACTGCAGTCGAGTCAGTTCTGACTCATAGTAACCTCCTTGGGTTTCCAAGGCAGTATCTCTATGGAAGTAGATTGCCCAGTCTTCCTTCCAAGGAGTGGCTGGTGGGTTTGAACTGCCAGCCTTCTGCTTAGCAATCAAATGCCTTAGGCTCTAAGCCATGAGAGCTCCTCAAATAAAGTATGAGAAAATGCAGAGGATAAATTGAACGTAACAGAAGAGCCAGGGTAGGCCCCATTCAACCGAACCTTTCCCTGTGCTGAAAAGCCTCTCCTGTACCAGGGGCAGATGTCTTCAGGGCCACCTGCAGCCCCAGCCCTGTGGCAACCCAAGTGTCCACCAGCTTCATCCTAGGGCTTCTCCTCAGCACGTTTATTGTTTTGTTTTCCAACAACAGTTAGCCTTCCTGTGAACGACATCCGTCTTTGTGACACTGCTCTTACCAAAGTTACAATTTTATGTTTAACTTTGTGCAGCCAATCCTTTCCCACTGGAAGTGGGATGCAATAGGGATGAAATCTTGTCTGCATTGCTCAAAATTGATCTGACTGTAAATCATGTCACCTGGGCAATGATATGCACAACATTTGGAAAGCCCAAGGGATAAAAGAAGATGCAGTCCCTTTTCTGTATTTTGCTCGGTCCTGTGCCACCCTGACAGTCACTTCCATATTCCAGCCACTATGTCGATCCATCTCATTGAGGGTCTTCCTCTGTTACTGTGACCTTTATTTTACCGTCATGACGTCCTTCTCCAGGGAATGGTTCTTCTGACACCATATCCAAGGTACATGAGAAGTCTCTCCATCCTGGCTTCTAAGGGGCATTCTGACTGTCCTCCTTCCAAGACAAACTGGCTTGTTCTTAAGACATTCCATGGTATAGCCTATATTCTTCATCAACACTCTAATTGTAATGCATCAATTCTCCTCTGTTCTTCCTTATTCATTGTCTAGCTCTCACATGCATATGATGTGATTGAAAATATCGTGGCTTGAGTCAGATGCACCTAGTCCTCAAAGAAATTTTTGCTTTTTAACACTTTCAAGAGGTCTTTTGGAGCCGATTTGTCCAACACAGCATGTCATTTAATCTTGGCTGCTTCTTACATGGTCATCGACTGTGGATCCAAGTAAAATGAAATCTTTGACAATTTCAATATTTTCTCCAGTGACCAAAAAAAAAAAA